TGCCTCTCTCAGCCCCGCCTGCACGTCCTGCAGCATTCGTAACAAGTTAGTAATAGGTTAGTAGAAGATACCTCTAAGCTACTAGATAATAAAGCTGTTCTCTTTAGAGAGATATAGTTTTAAAGTAAAGTGTTTTTATATTACTTTTTAGGAGGTAATATCTTTTATAGAGCCTTATATTCTTTAGTGTATAGCTGGGGGAGCCTTTAGAGCTTCCTTTCAAATCCCCTTTAGCCTCTTAGAGTAAGACGAGCCTTTAAACAAGAGGGAATAGTGTGTACTCCTGAACCACACTCGCCTCAAGCGCGGCTTTACCTTATTCACCAAACCATCCCCTTAGCTGTTTTATCCTACTTTCTGACACTAAAACCTCGTCTGATGGTGAACCATTAGCGTTACGCCGGAAAGCCAATCGTAGAATTGCGCCAATCTGGCCAGCAGCTTCTGTTAGAGCCCGTATTTTGCCCCGGGGTTCCTCCTCTTCGATCCCGGAGACAGCCCAAAACTCCTCCCAGAAGGTTTCTCGCAGTAGCAGCTTACATGCATAGTCATGCCAGCCGTCTTTAGTCATGAATCCTGTCGTTAAGAAAAGAATGTCTAAATCCATTCCGAAGGGCATAATCGTCGCCAAAGACCAATCGACGATTCCTGTGATTTCGAACGTATTCTCATCAACAAGAATGTTTGTTACTGAGAAGTCGCCATGCGTGAGAGTGGGTAATCGTGGCTGAAGAGCAAGGGGAGCATCTCTAGCAGTTTGAATGAGGTCAAATCCGGCAGGATGGACGGGGATTCTTCCGCCAGCCGAGCTATCCTTTTGCGAATACCTTCCTGCTTGTCTGCTTGGGATTGATGGCCAACCAAGCGAGATTTGGACCAGCATCGCGCAAAGTACCTTGAATATATAAGCAAGATAGCCTTAGTTGATTTCGGGTTTTATCAAGCTTACCGAGCCAGGTGCTTGACAAAGACTTCATGCTTGGTCTGCTCGTCGGAATTCATTTCTGCTTGAAAAGGCAGGACGTCAATGCAGGCCGAGCCTCGCAGATAGGGCATGGAGTGGATTGATAGCAGCGGGTCGGCTCCCTCCACGTCGCCGTGGCAGGTCGACTCTGGTACAAGGACTCGTGGACCTCCTTGGCTAACTTCACCATCTCCTCGTCGAGTGAAGCCTCCGGTTCTCTGAAGGATACAATGAGATCCTGCTGCGGCCCAGGGCACCCTTTGCAAATGACAGTGTAGCTCATTGACCCGGGGCTGGCCACGGGGCAAACCGTCGAAGCACCAGAAACGCGACGCGCAATTTCGTCACATTGCATCTGCGACGGCGACTTCCGGCCGCTGAAGAAGCGATCGACTACCTCTTGGGCCCAAGAAGACTGTGTCATTACCAAATGTGCAGCTTTCTGCAGTTCCCTTGGATTGTACCAGCTGTGCGAGGCTGTAATTGAAAAGATATCGTTGGCTGTTACTTTGCCGAAGGACCCGATTCTTGGCGAGCGGGGTATTCCCGTTGAAGGCTACCTTGCGGCCCGCAGGCATTTGTCGAAATAGGCAGCAACCCCTCATCTGTTTCCGCGGGATGCTGGAAGCGGTTATATCTTCTCTGTATTTATGAGTAGTCACAGTTAACTGAGAAACCTACATTTGCGCCCTCGGAATGTTAGAAGCGACTGGCCACGGAAGCATCAGAATCAAACGCAGGCATTACTAGAGGTGGTAATAATACCAAGAACAACAAGTAAGCAGCCAGATGCTCTGGGTATAAAAGGAGTGCCACGTCTATACTAAGGGTGGTTCAACTCGCAAACTCTTTGTCCACATTAGCTCTCATCATCAGTGTGCTGTCTATCTTTGGTCAAAATAGCTCCATTCCCTCGTTATCTCTTCAAAATGGCGACTGCTCAAACTCTCACAGTTGTGAACATTCCAGGTCTTCATCGCTCGCCCAGTGTTGACGACTTTGCAGACTCCCGGAACGTGTATGCGCTACTCCTAAGACCCCCTCCAATCTTCGTGCTGTCCCTAATACCATGTGCAGCTCTAATAGCCTACCCTAGCTTGAGGAGCAGCCAGAAATATCTGACACCATGCTCAAGAACTTGGGTGAGCTTTTTGCTCGCCACGGCGCCCATGATTCGTTCGGCATCCATCTTCTCCATGCTCATTTTCAGGTCCCTGAGGGAAATGTCCTGTGTGGGGTCAACGTCCAGTTGTCGGGTAATTCCGAACCCTGTTGGACAAAGCCTGTCCCTACAAGGGAGCTGGCCACAAAGCCTATTCATGGCCACGTCTTTCAAGTACAGCCCAACGGAGCCTTCGTACCGTATGAGTTCCAGGAAGGTGAAGCGCCTACTAAAGCTGCCAAAGTTCCCAAGGTATTTTTCCACGAGTCATCCGAGTTCCTACACCTCAACAATCTCGCAAGCTTGATTGCACTGCAGCTGTTAGATGGGCCAACGGATCAGACTAGTACTGAGCTCCTCGTTGGGCCACAGAGCACTTTGATGATGGATACCAAGGATATCCTCGGGTTTCAGCCCGCACAAATTACCACGGGCTGGTACTTCGAGGTGGTAGAGGACGGAATTATTTCTTGCAAGGGCAACAACGTGTATGCTGAAAAGAAGCACACCCACGGAGTCTTCCAGGACTCGAAGCCCCTTCCAACCCTGGAAGCATTGAAAGCAGCTCTTCTTCAGGAAGGTATTATTGCGTAAAGCTTTGGATGCCTGCCTATTCAATGGCTTGCACAGCCTGGAATTGATGACGATGGCGATAGTAACGATAGGAGGTGACGGGACTAGCTCTAGGAAGACAATAGGAGTACGAGAGGAAGAAGTTAACAATCAAAGAAGTTATTATCAGATTAATTTAGAGCGAGTCCCTTGTCTAGAGGTTGACTTCGTCCGCAATGGAGCGCGTAAGATGCGATACTCTAGAGTACGAAGCTATCGAATACTGCATATACCCTCCCTGCATTATAAGAAAGGCACAATGATTCTTTGCCCTGAAATCCTACCCTTACAATCCAGTCATGTACGCCAACCCACTAGCTACTGACATTCAAATATACAGCACAGCTATTTAATCCTCGAATGTTGGGCTATCTAACCACGCGCGAATCTTGGTGAGGGCTGATTTGTCGTGCCGAGACTCTGACGTCGTATAATCCTTCATATCGCAATCTATCCAACCTTCGTACCACGGCTGATAGACAAATTGTCCCCAATCCTGCGAGCCGAGCCAAAGTCGACCAAGATAGGCCTCATGTCCTCTGCTACAAGGACATTTGTGGGGTTAAGGTCGTTATGTGCCCAGCCAAGCGAGTGCAAATGATGAATAGGCGACTCCAGTGACTCTATAAAGAGCTCTTTCTCTTGAATAGTATGCCCACTCTTTAGGTAGCTGTACGTACCTAATAAATTTGATGCCATAGCATACGTCATAGTGCAGCAAGCAGGCTGACATTGACGTGGAGAAGAGGGCTGGGATACTGTGTTAAGCGTTGTCAATAGCCTCATCAGGCTGTCTAGCGTGACAAGCCCCAGCCTTGTTTCGCTGAACACGCGACCAGTTCCTGAATAAATTGCTTCCATGGTGCATGTGGTCTTAAGTAACTTTTACTCTTGAGTTTTCAAGACTTTGTCAAATCATCTTCCTTTTCCACTGACGACATAAGCTACACCCAACCCTTTGCCTCGCCATGAACAACGCGACGACCACGGCCAACATGACGGGCATCGTCAAGGCCCCTGGCAACGACAGCCAAGGCGGCGGCTGCCTCACGGGAAACCGAATCCCTGGTCTCGACGACACGCTCCCCAAGCACGGTGCCTTCTTCGCCAGCGGGCTCAGCGACAACGGCACCTACAACGCGACGGCGTGGGCGCTGTGCTGCGCGCGACACCAGGTCTCGCTGGCCCTCTCCTGCTACCCGTACTGCGAGATCCCACCGGAGATGCTCGGCAAGGACAAAGACACGAGCCGCATCGGCCGGGATATGGCGGCCTGCATCGGCGACACGACCCTCACAGCAGTACTGATCAACCAAGCGCCGACGACTGCGGGGTTGCCGAAGCTATTGACTGTCGGCATGATGTTGGTGTACATTTTGATGTAAATAAATTGCGATGGAGAAGCAAGTGAGGGGTCTTTCATTGGTGTAAAATGTCTTTTCTCCTGGGTATTCGGGTCTCAGTGATGGCTCCAGCGATCATCAGCGCTAAATTCAAAGTATACCTCCGAAAATTTCCCCGCAAGCCTCAACTTTGCTCACTGGACGGGACGGCCCATCGTTATTACTGGAGAGGAGGGTAGGGGAGTTGCCGACGGCTAATAATTACCCGTAAAAAGCTATTGTTGTCATTGCTGGGAGCCTGCGTAGGCATCCCATCCCAGGAACCCAACTCCACCAAATCACCAAAAACAAGAAACTCCGACCGAAAACGCTACTTCCTGATGGTGATGGCCATGTCGGCAATTCAGTCTGCCCATGCGGGGAGGGGCCGAAGAAGAAGCTCCGAAAAAGAAAGTTGGGGTAAGCAAGGTCCGCGACATCATCACCCACCAAAGCTAACCAGCTCAACAACAGTGTCGCATTAGCCTAACCAACTAGTCAGCTTAGAGAAACGATCAATCGAAGGTGAATAAATATCTGCTGTAGTCCGTCGTCGTTAACAATGGCCGTTTCCTCTTTCCTCACTCGCCTGTTCTCTACCTCTCTCTCTGCGTTGGTGGTTCCAACCCTCTGATTGCATCGAGAGAACCTCACTCTACACCGATACCACCACCAAGGATGCGCCCTACACCTCCCTGCTACGGCCTCGCCATACGCCTAGCTTTGGCCATCGCCGAAATTTCCCAGGCCGTGCTGGCCGACACATCTCAAGTCCAAGGTACGAACCCGCCCCCCGGGTCATTGGCGGCCCAGTTGCTTGCGCTCACTGACGTTCCTCCTCCTCCCCCAGCCATCGCCGTCGAGGGCACATCCTTCGCGCTCAACGGCGCCGGCGTGTCGTACCGGTTCCATGTGGACAACACGACGGGCGACCTGATCGGCGACCATTTTGGCGGCCTCGTCCCTGAGAACGGGCTGACGCAGCCCATCGACCCCATCCAGGGCTGGGTGACGCTCGTCGGCCGGCAGCGGCGCGAGTTCCCGGACCTCGGCCGCGGTGACTTCCGCACGCCCGCATTCCAGATCCAGCAAGCTTCGGGCGGCACGACCGTCAGCGATCTGCGGTACCAGTCGCACGAGGCACAGCGCGGCAAGCCGGCGTTGCGGGGCTTGCCGGCCACGTTTGGCGGCGACGACGACGTGTCGACGCTTGTGGTGCACATGTATGACAGCTACAGCGCCATCGCCGTGGATCTCATGTATAGTGTCTTCCCGGAGCATGATGCCATCGTGCGCAGCGTCAACGTCACCAACAAGGGCAACGGCACTGTTACGCTGAGCAAACTCTCGAGCTTCAGCGTTGACCTGCCGTATGGCGACTACGACATGGTTCATCTGAACGGCGACTGGTACCGTGAGGCTCACAAGGTGCGACGCCGCGTCGAGTACGGCTCGCAGGGGTATGTGACATGATGATGACTTTGCATGTATCCAAGCTCAGTCCCGACTGACAGTCGCAGATTTGCCAGCAACGCGGGCTACTCGTCAGCCCAGCATAATCCCTTCATGTCCCTCGTTGACCCCAGTACCACCGAGTCGCAGGGCGAGGCCTGGGGCTTCTCGCTCGTCTACACTGGCTCGCACGCGTTCGAGGTCGAACGCGGCTCTGAGGGCCTGACACGCGCCGTGATCGGCGTCAACCCGCTGTCCTTTGGCTGGCCTCTCGGCCCCGGCGAGACCTTCACCTCTCCCGAGGTCGTCGCTGTCTACTCGGACCAGGGACTGGGCGGCATGTCGCGCAAGTTCCACCGCCTGTACCGCAAGCACCTGATGAAGAGCAAGTTCGCGACGGAGACGCGGCCGGCGCTGCTCAACAGCTGGGAGGGCCTGTACTTTGACTACAACGAGACGACTATCGCGAGGCTGGCGCGGCAGACGGCTGAGTTGGGAGTGCGCATGTTTGTGCTCGATGACGGCTGGTTCGGCGACAAGTACCCCCGCGTGTCGGACAATGCCGGGCTGGGTGACTGGGTGCCGAACCCTGCGCGGTTCCCTTCGGGCTTTAACACGCTCATCAACACCATCACGCGCCTCAAGTCGGGCAACTCGTCGCAGGAGCTCAAGTTTGGCTTGTGGTTCGAGCCGGAGATGGTCAATCCCAACTCGACGCTGTACGTCGACCACCCGGACTGGGCTCTGAACGCGGACGACTACCCTCGCACGTTGACGCGCAACGAGCTGGTGCTGAATCTGGCGCTGCCCCAGGTGCAGGACTATATTGTCGATGCCGTGACCAAGATTCTCAAGAGCGGCCCCATCAGCTATGTCAAGTGGGATAACAACCGCGGCATCCACGAGACACCCCATTCGTACACGAACCACCAGTACATGCTCGGCGTCTACCAAGTGTATGACAGGCTGACGACTGCGTTTCCGGACATCATCTGGGAGGGATGCGCTTCAGGCGGCGCTCGCTTCGACCCGGGCATCCTGCAGTACTTCCCTCAGGTATGGACCTCGGACGACACCGACGCTGTGGAGCGCATCACCATCCAGACGGGGACCTCCCTGGTGTACCCGCCGTCGGCCATGGCGGCGCACGTCGCCGCCGTGCCCAACGGCCTCACGAAGCGCACGACGCCGCTGAGCTTCCGCGCGCACGTGGCCATGATGGCCGGCTCGTTCGGGTTCGAGCTGGACCCGGCGCACCTGGCGGAGGCGGACCGCGCGGCGATCCCGGACCTCGTGGTGCTGCAGGAGAGCATCAACCCGGTCGTGGTGCGCGGCGACATGTGGCGGCTCAACCTGCCGGACGAGTCCAACTGGCCGGCGACCCTGTTCATCGCCGAGGACGGTGGGCGCGCGGTGCTCTTCTACTTTCAGATCAAGGCGCACTTCAACAACCTGTTCCCGATGGTGAAGCTGCAGGGCTTGGATCCGCAGGCGAGCTACCGGGTGGACGGCAGCATGACGATGTCGGGGGCGACGCTGATGCGGTTCGGCCTGCAGTATACGTTTGAGGGAGACTACCAGAGTCGGGTGGTAATACTGGAGAAGCAATAGCTGTATTAGATGTGGATTACGTTGGAGTGAAATAGAGGCAAAATAGGTGCGGAGGTCGCTTTGCTGTTCAAAGTTGTGCCTCACGCTGCAGTTTTATTCGTTTCTTATGCTTTCACCCCCCCTTCTTCATAAACTTCATGGAGTTCATATCCTACATCTCTACCCTCTAATCTATCCTTCTTCAATGCCCTCTGCAATTGTGCAGACTAGACACGACCGTCCATGAAAGGGACATGTAGATAGAGTACAAACTTGCAAGGTACCATGACAGTCTCCCTAATGATGAACGGGCTGAAGACGGCATATGTTCCCTGTGTGACAGTTTACGAAAGCCTGAATGAGTCCACACATTTGTACAAGCATGGCGCCGAGAATAAAGACGTGCCATATTTGGTGTGAGCTGGCCCAAGTGTCGAACTTGCCCGGCGCGAATCGCTCTGGGAAGCGAAACTGCAACCTCGCGTTAGATGAATAGTTTCTCATATGCTCTGATACACCTACCATAGATAAGCAAGCCCCAACGCCGTAAATAATAAGCTCGACGATGTACCACGCCAGCCCGGAATAGCGAAGCATGTAATGGATTCCGTAAATTGCGACGCCGTGTATGAGGGGGACGAAGGCCAAGACACTAAGTAAGACGTAGGCGCCCCTTCTTACGAGTTTCCAGCGCGGCGCTTGAATAGCTGGTATAAACATCAGCACGGTGGTGATAGCGCTCGTCGCTACGACCTAAACATAAGAAATATCTTGTTAGTTTTCTCGTGTCATCGGGACTGTGGCCCAGTAAAAGGCAAATACGGCGCTTCAGAATGACTAACAATCAACCAGTGAAGCTTTTGCAAGAGAGGCGAGCAGAAAAAGACGTAGTAAATGGCCGAGATGAGGGTGCCCTCTGTGGCGACGACCATGCCCAGCAGGTCCATCCGGTACCAGAAGCGCTGAACGGCCTCCGAGTGCGCGCTGAACAGGTGGAACATGATGCTCAGGAGCAGGAAAATCTCAGCGGAGCAGAAGAAGATGAGGAAGATGGCATAGTCACCACCCGAGACGCCGGAGAAGCGCGGCTGCGAGTGCAGGGCGGAGAGGACGATGACGGCGATGACGGGCAGGCCCAGCGCGCCGAGGATGTGCGTGTACACGTTGCACGTCTCGTTGTGCAGGTACTTGAGGCCGTCGAGCAATGCGCGGTGGTTGGGAAGTTCCCTCCGGTAGCCGCTGAGAATGTATTTGTTGCCTTGCCGCCATTTTGGTACCTCGTACCATGAGATAGTTCGGTCAGTGGTGTTGGTGGTGGTGGTGGTGGTAGGTGGCTGCAGCGACTCCATGGGGGAAAGATTGTGAGGAGGAATCGTGGAGGATGTTTCTTGAATTCTGCTGTCAACATGAGATTGTCATCATGATATTTGAAGGAGAGAGAAAAGATGCGACGGCAACGAGGCAGGCATGTTGCTTGCTTGGCTGAGAGGGTCGGGACAATGAAAGCTGTTGAGCGGGCGCACACCGAAGCACCAACCACATGGCCTCTTTTGGGACCGACTGCGATGGAAGCACAATCCCCGCTCGGCGTCTATATCTTTGATGTGTTTTCTTTACGGGATCTTGCCTCGGCGGTTAGGTGACGGGAGGTTGCTTACAGAACCCAGACAGCGGATCCGTGCATCGCGAAGGATCTGCGAGACCAATGCGGGTGTATTCAAGACGACATTCTTTCAGTTGTGGGGGGTTTTGTCCTTGGAAACTGCTTTGGAACTTGCCTTGGAAATAATTGCCTTTGAATTCGGACCAAATTTGCACTACGCTGTCTTTGGGGGAGAATTCCCTGACAGACTCGTCGATACATTGAACCGTTGGGATCTTTTGGGACCTGTTGACCTCAACGAACCCTTTGGAAAAGCTGAGAAAAAACCCTGACATGGAATAAACTTCAAAAGCGGGCTCTTTGGAAAAGCTGAGAATGAATATCGAAATCAAATATTTGTATCAACATACATGGCTATGAATAACTAACTACCAGGTGCCCGCCGCTGGTCCAAAGAACGAGCCATCAGTAGGAGGCTGCCTGGTTCGTGCCTTTTTCAAGGCGTCGAAAGTCTCGTCAACTACCGTGGTACCCCACCACGCGGGGAAGGATTTGGCTGATAGGCCAAGACCCAAGGCAAACAATACAATGCAAAGTGCATTGCCGACGTCGAGGGCGCCAGCCATGACATAGGTGTACCGGGCCCACCATCCCTTGTACTTGCCCATGATCCAAATGTTGAAGAAGCAGCCAACAACTAGCCAGTTGGACAGGTTCCACAGCGTAGCAGGAGGAATCATACCGCCGATGCTGAAGATGGCAGGGAAGTAGACAAAGCGGGCGATGCTGCGGGGGTATTTTCTGGCAATCAGCCAGTGAGCGACTGTGCATACAAATCCAATAAGCCAGAACCAGTTGATCCACGAGAAGAGAGCTCCAGGGCCGAACATGCGCTTGGGACCAACAACTCCCCAGATGACACTGGCGTTGTAGAAGGTGCGCGCGCCCGGGCAAATGAATCCTTGCTTTTGGTCGGGCTCGCAGAAGCCGGGAATGTTGCCCAGGAGGAAGTTGAAAGTGGCGACTTGCACGAGCGACAGCCAAACAACAGCAAAGAATTGTGCGCGGAACATGGAGCGAGGAGGAACCTTCATGTAGTGTCCGATTTTCATGTCCGACACGAAGGTGAGACCGTTGGCCATCAGCATGTAGCCCCAGCTCTTGAAGAGCATCATAGCGACGGGTCTGCCGGGAAGCATGTAACCAACGATGAATTCCGTGATGATGTTGAGGCCGGTTTGCTGACTGGTAATGGCTTGGATAATTCCAACAGGGAGGATCATGACGATACCCATGATGACGCAGAGGATGAATGCCCACCATGTGAGCTTGGTGTCCCAAACGAGAGAAGCAGCCAGGGCGAAGGCGAATGAAACGATGAAGACACCCATGAACCACCACTCAGGAGCCTCGGGGTACTTTCGCATGAGCTTCAGGTGAACATCAGGCTCCTCATATCTGGCATTCTTGGTACGGCGATAGATGTCCTTTCCGTAGAAAAGAACAACGTGAGTGACGGTAGACATGAGCGCAGCGAAACCCAGCGCATATGCCATGGTGAAAACGGGACCGATCAGTAGAGGCGAGTATGCTTCATAAGCCGCAACATTCAGGGTAAGGTCCTTGTTCAAAATTCGGGACGTGTTGTATACCTTGCCGAAATGGTCAAAGTTGTTGTTTGCGCTCAGAGGGAGATAGCGGTAGAACTCGGCACCTCCAAATGCAACGGCATAACCGCAGACCAGGATGATGAGCGCACCAAAGAGGGCGTTGTACAGGGCAAAGGAAGGGAACTGAAGAGGGTTGCCGAAGAAGCCGGCAACACCACTCCAATCGAGGGTTCCGGGAAGGAAGCCGAGACCGTTGCGGCCGCCAAATACCTGGTTGACTGCGACGTTGTGGGGGGCGGCCCAGGTAGGGAAGAGTCCGAGCATGCCTACAAAAGGAGCAATGGTGTTGGGAATCCACTGCCAGATGAAGGTGGCGCCGGAAACAATCATGAAAAACTTGTACCGACCCATGGTCCAGCCGTGGACGGGGTCGGCAGAGCCTCGCGAGTGCAGACCGTCCATGACGGAGCAAGTGATGAGGGTGGCAGGCCAGACCATGGCGGCGGGCCAAATCAGGAAGCGGCGCATAACACCGGCAAGACCGAAGCCCATGGCCTGGGTCGACATGATCAGGAGGATCTGGAAGCCCCAGCCCCAAGCCTGGCCGTAGAAAATTTGCTGCGCAATCAAGATGGAGATGGCGTAGCTGATGGTCGTGCCTGCAGCAGCCATCATGGTGATGAGGGTATGCTCCTTCTTGTTGAAGGGGCCGGGGTTCAGATCAACGCCAAAGATCTTGACGTTGGGCATGAACTTGGCCCAGCCGGTGCCCATGGGGTAGGCGATGAGCTGCACCACGGAGCTGGTGATGGAGACTTGGAGGTAGTGCTCGTAGAGGAGAACGTTCATGGCGCCGACGACGGTGCAGATGACGAAGCCGATGGTCCAGGCGCGAATGGTCTCGACATACTGGCTGGGATCGTCGGTAGGTTTGACCTTGGGCGCGAGTTAACAGTGATTCGGCGTTGTTGATGTTGGGGACTGCTTACCGAAGAGCGCACTTCCAAGTAGGGGGAGTCTTCCTGGAGAATGGACTGTTCAATGGCGGCCTCCTTCTCGGCGTCACCCGAGGCGATGGCACTGTCGACGGCAGCAATCTTGTCGTGGTCCATGAAGGGATCCCAGCGATGCTGACTCCGCAGGCGTCGAAGGTGCATGTCGGCGTGGGCGGCATCCTCGCCATGGCTCTCGGTGCGGTCGACGCCGCTGGAGACTTCAGAGACGGTGCTCCTGCTCTTGAATTTTTCCAAGAACCCCATTGTTGTCGATGGGTGCGCGATCAGGCCGCGTCGTGTAGAGGAATTGTCAAATCACGGACAACGGTGCAGGGATGGAGAGAAGCTGGGGTGGCGGGATGCGACTCTATATAGAGTTTTGATTGACAGGCATTGTTCGTAATGCAGCGGACAATGGGACAATGGAACCCTCTTCTACAATGTCTCGTGTCAATGCAGTTACCGCGGAATTTGCGTTGTCTATCGGTATGGTTCTGTTCCAAAAAAAAAAAAAAAGTTCCAATGCTTCCGCTATCAGTCAAGCCACCAGCAAAAAGTTCCTGTCAGCTCCAGCCTTGTTTTGGAAAAGTTCCTATTGTTTCCCGGACTGTTTTATCTCCTGCCGTATCTCACTTGGCGCTTGGCAGATAGAGTTGGGAACTTTTGTGCAAAAGTTCCCAAGCGCTCCTTGCTAATTTGAGTGCCAAGAATCTGCCAAGAGGCTACTACGGGACTGATACCATTCTGGATCATCACATGGTTCTCCGCAAAACAGCCCATCAGCGCCACCGGACCAAAAGTCCTAATTATGTAAAGTTAACATTAAAGAACTAAACGCCGAAGCATGCCGGAGAATTAAGCTTGTCTGTGGCGTGGAACGGGGATCGCCAGCGTTACATGTGCATGCCACACAGGACCAGCTGCTTGCATACTTGCACAGCGTACCTATCTCTGTATGTACCACTCGTGCTGCAGTGAGGCATGGCAGCCCAACGTCGCGCATTACCTACTAAGTACCTAGTAGGGTGTCCTTGCTCATGGCAGGTGTGCCAAGCCGTGTTGTGCTGAGATTTCCGCAGATGTTGCCCACACGATCAACATTTTGGGGGCTTGCCGTAACCCACGTAGCCCACGCAGCCCCCCCCACAGGATTAGTTTTATCGCACGTTGTGCCAAAGGTCCCAACGCCTTCCCCGTGTTCAGGCCACAAGGACCGAACATGTCCGGATCCCCTTGGCCGCTGGAACTGGGGCTAGGACTGGGGTCAGGCGAGGCAAGACATTCTATCGGAGTGATTTGTGTTTGCTGACGAGGCCGACTTGATTTGGAACATGGGAAGAAGTGATGAAAAGTAGGAGGGTTGGGTACGAGACAAGGGAGGGGTGGGTAGGTATTCAGAGCCAATTCTGCAGAATCCATGGGCGATAAATTGAGCACAATACCGCACCCAATGGGCAATCAATGGTGTACCTACATGCGAATTACCATTGGCCGCCTCTCCTTATTAGCGAGACCTAGGCAGTCTGCCCTTTTGGCGGCCAAGAGACTGCCATCCGAACCAAGGGAGTGCGGTCGCGGGCGCGTTTGCAGAGCTGTCTGCGATAACTTGGGCCGAGCAACCACAACAGCTATACGCGCATGGCAGAAGGAAAAATCGGGAAATAGAGTGGCCGAGGCTATACCAAGACAACGGGCGCAATGGTTGATTGAATCGTCCTCTTATCGTCTCTCCGACCGGCTGACTACCTACATACTATGTAGGTAGGTACATACATAGGTACGGTAGTAGCAATTCAGCGCAGCAGTATCCAGGCGTCAAGGCGGAGGTCCTAGGGGGGCGGGGGTTCACGATCGGCGGAGTACTAGCTTGATTTGCCAGCCATCAAAGTACTCCCCCACAGGTGCAAACATGGCCCATCTCAGTAGTATTCGTGATGGTGCTGCATTGGTTCCAGGGCCGCGGGTGGAAGAGACGGAGGTGGAACGAGAGTCTGATTTGTTCTTTAATAATTAATCGAAAGTTGATCACTACACAGGATCAGCACTGGGGGAAGAAAACGCAAAAAGAGGCCCTTGGTTGCATTGGCCCTCTCGGAAGGCACCATCGGCACATACCGGTAGACGTCCCATAGCTTTGGAACCAGCCTTCGCAGGCTGTACAAGCATTGCTCATACCAAACATTTCTCATCCGCGCAAACTGTAGCAGGATGGCCGGGTCCTGCGCCTTGTGGTCCAGGTCGCGCCAGTATCCTCGTGCGCTCCGAGTCTCGTACTCGAGGACGTCAAGAGGCCAGTCGCAAGGCCGAAAAACGTTTTTGGAGACGTCGGACGGGAGTGCGTCGGCCCTGCCTACATCAAGCTCAGTACCAAGTGATATAGAGAGATAATCAAGGGCATCCTTTTCGACGATAGGGACTTTGATGGCGTCCAGCGCTTCCCTTTGGATGAGCTTGGCGATATGGACTTTCTCGGTGGCGGCGTATTGTAGCTTGTCGGCGTCGGTGATATTTTCGGTTGATATTGCAGGCGTGGAGCAAGGCATTGCATTCGAAATTGCACTCTCAGAATACAGTATAAGGAACGTGATATCGTTAAATGGCTTTGCGAGGCCTTATATGTTGTGCGTGGCGGTGCTGGTAGTGTTGTGTTTTCTCAAAAAGCCGTTTGACTGTGCAAGATTCCTTTGTTTACTTTATTAGGAGGTACAGGGGGGTCGGCTCTCTGATTCTGCCTCTGCCTCTGCCTTTAACGTTAGCGCATCTGTAGCCATCATTTACCCTACAGCGAAACCTACCCTGCAGTCCGGACCCTACAGTGAAACTTACCCATCCGTCACGTTGCAAATGAAACATGAGAGGGTCAAACTTTACTAAACTCAGTCTAAGAAAAAGAGAGCGAGTCTCAACATCAACGACTGTATTCATACATCAACATTGGGGCACAAACATTAGTTTCGTAACACCACAAGACCAAGCACGTGGTCGACGGCAACCCGCACATCAATCAAACGAGTCAGTCGAACGAAACTGCGGGGAGTGGCACAAGGCTGAGTCTGGAGAAGGCTGCTCAACGATAAACAACACATACGGTATCGCACTCAAAGATTTGTAAGTCGCCAATACGAGACAGACCATTTCGGTTTCTCGTCAGCGTCTTTTTGCTAACTCAGCCTCGTCCCCAACAGCCTTTTCCTGAACCCCATGGTGTACGAGAACTGCACCAACCTTTTGGCAGGGGTATACTACTGTGTCGAGGCCGTTGGTCATGTCTCGGACTACCCCGGATATGGTGACTTAACCTCGCGCGGCGCTCCCATCAACCCTATTTGCGCTACGCCTCTGCCGCAGAATGGTCCGCTCCTCGGAAATCTGACCAATGAAGAGCCCATAATTCCGCTTGCGAACGGCACTCGCAAAGATTGCTACGGGTATGTCACATACACACATCACATGTTATTCGCATTAGTAAACCTTTTCTAACCAACACTATTCTCTACACAGCTATACTTACTTTACTAATGTTACCGATATTCTTTGCCCCAGATTGCTGGAGCCTAGCAATGCTCGTGGGGTTAGCCCTTGAGGTCGGCCATCGCAGAACCACGAGTAGTCGAGATGCTAACAGCCTTTAGGAATTTATCTTTTGGAACCCTTCCCTAGCTCAAAGTGCGCAGCAAGGGAAAGCGGATGATCCTGAGACCTCACCAACAATCGACGAACACGACTACACCTACCCATGCACCCTTGCAGCGAATACGTCGTATTGCATCGTCCTCTCTTCTCCAGTGCCCTGTAAGTGCGCCCTTGTCTGGGCCCCTTGCTGTCCGTTTTTCTCGGCCAAAATTTCCGACTTGCCCTCTTAACACAGCCACGGGCCCCTCACAGCTCCAACGTCCAGCACCACGAGCCGCTGGCGAGATTGTCAATTGCACTTCCTGGGCGCTAGTGCATGACTTCGACACTTTTGCGAGCGCAATGGGTCTCTACAACCTTGACATTGAGACTTTCCATAAAATGAAACCGACTGTTCAATCGGATTGCGCTGGACTCGCTGCAGGAACGTTCTACTGCATGTCAATATGGCCTGGTGGTGGTCTGGACCCCGCGCTTCTCGAGGACGATGGCGAAGACTTCAACACAACAACGACCCTTGCGTCTTCAACAGCGTCGCATCCTTCCACGCCATCCCCCGTCCAGACGGGCATCGTGAGCGGCTGCAACAAGTTCTACAAGGTCGCCCCGGGCGATGGCTGCTACGATATTGCGCACGCTGTGGCCATCGACCCAGACGACTTTTACTCATGGAATCCCGCCGTCCGGAACGACTGCACTGGCCTACAGGCCAAGGTCTACGTGTGCGTCGGCGCCGATACCGCCACCCTAACGATGCCAACAACCACCATGATGTCGGGCTTGAGCCCGGGCGCGCCGACACCCACCCAGGACGGCATGGTCAACGACTGCGTCGGGTTCTAGAGGGTCAAGTCCGACGACGGCTACTGCGCCATCGCCCACGACGCGAACATTGATGTTGAAAACTGTACCAGGTGAAATTAGGTCGTTAAAGAGGATTGTACCGGTTTATAGGCCTGTTGACCAGAGTCTTCTGGGTACATCCGGAACGTTCATCCGTCCTACCGAAGCATAGTATATAGGCACATCGTACAGCACACACAGATAACTTGAATCAATCATATTATTCTATCTCAATCCTATCATGTCCCTGAACTTGATTCTATCAAACCCAACTACTACGTCTGCATTAGCCACAAAGGCAGCGGCGGAGCGAGCCCGCCGCCTCCGCCAACGACAACAATTCCGGACGGGGGCTCAGGCGCGACGCCAACGCCAACGCCGACACAAAAAAGCATGGCCGACCACTGAAAAAAGTTTTACAAGGACAAGTATGGTGGCGGATGTTGCAACCTTGCGGCAACAGAAAACCTTTCTCTCGATGACTTCTACAGGTGGAACCCGGCCGTCCATAGTGACGTGCGGGCGAACGCATATATCTGCGCTGGGGTATTAGATCTCTAGTAGCTTTGTTTTCTTTGTGATACTCTATTTTCACTAGTGTTTACATAAAGAAAACATTGTATACAACTTCAGCAAATTAAGAATAAGGGTGGTAAACGCTCAGTTCGTCTGAGCCATTCAAAGTGAAAGGAACTTCAAAACTGGGAGCGAAATGACTGCAATCAACCACGTCAAGGCCCTCAACTGGGTAATTATACTACATTTCACTTCCAAACGGGTGCGGCACATCGCCTGAAGCGTCACTGTAAGTGAACCTGGTAGCGGCTTTGTCCACACTTACGTACCGTCCCCTTTTTAAGAAATTTTCTCTGTCTAGCCTGATATGCATTCGAGACCTCTCCTCTAGCACGCGGTCTCTCCAGGGCGACTTTTCTCGCAGATTCTTGAGTAGCGTAACGTAACTAGCGCCGTCTTCCATAAAGGCTATGTTACTCACCTCGACGGAACGAAGGGAAAAGGGTAGGGCCTCAAACAGTGTCATTAGCTTAGACTGGTGTATAAAGACCCGGATGATGCTAAAATGCTTTAAGCGGGGCCAGTTCTTCACAGGGAATACGGCTAGCAGAGGCAGAGACGTCTCTGCTTTAAAATCTTCAACGCCTTCAACCTGTGAAGGATACCCATGCATATCAATGTCCATGTTGCTTAATATACTGAAGTGCTCTAGATCCGTCGTAGCGGCCAGCGCGCCTCTTAACAGCCCGCTGCGAAAGGAAGAAAACTCCTCAGCTTCTGGAAATCCGGTGTATAAGGCAAGATCGAGACGTCGAAACCCCGATTTAGACAGGAGCGCCATAAAGTCATCGTACTCTTAGTATGGCTGGTTAAAGATGTGACAATTCATACTGGTGTTGCGGTGGTGGATCGCTATGACAAACTCAGATATACTGTGCTCGCTCTCGGCCAGCGTCCTTAATAGAACGCGAAACCCACGCTAAATGTTCTTATACTCCTCGAGAGTATAATTAATGCTATACCTCAACTTGAATTTCTCGTGCGCCCCCCATCCATAAAGCTCTAAATGCGTTACTCCTTCCTCCTCGCCAGGCCAGCCACGTGGAGTAAGGTACGCGAATGTCTCTGGAAACACTCGAAACATGGGCGTCTGGTACAACGGGCTCCCCATGTAGAAACCCCGTGCAGCTAGTGTGAGCGTGATGCTTCTTAGGGATGGGAAGTGCTGTAGACCGTGTTTCAGCGCGTCAATGTCCGAACCAGATTCCAGGACGGCCTTTGCTCTATTATAAGCTTCCTATAGTATTGCTAGCAGTCTTCGAGGCTCATCATATTTTCTAGTATCGTGTTTCCGTTCTAGCCGCCCTCGGCAAAGTTGAACCGTAACTCTAAAGTTAGTGTATATGTCCTGCCTCTTTAGAACCATTCCGGGCAATCCTCGGGTATGTTTTCGGCACGAAGAAGCCCCTAGTCACTACGTCTGTAATCAGTGTCGATGAGCCGCGCATCATCCCATACAATCTCCGTGACACGGTGACGAAAATTCTCGTGGTCGGCAATGGCGCGAAAGACCTGGATATTCAGGGGTTTGCTGAAAGGAAAACTCGAGCAAGCCTTAGAAGCACTGTCTTATAAAGAGATTTGCTTACTGCTCGGAGGCACTTAATGTCGATGTTTGTAAGATACGACGTGACCTGATCCAGCAACTCCGTTGGAAGCTGAAGCAATAAAAATGGCGCGCTTTCACCGGAATTAGATGCCATTCTCTTTCGTGGTCATATTATGTTAATAGAAGGACTTGTGTTAAGGTTAGGTTAAGTTGAGTTTGTATGCGTTTGTTTAGAGGCTAAGTGTGCTTCGAAGTTCTTTGTTCTTCCGCTGCCTTCCCATGTGTCGGCGGGGGCGCAACAATAGCCACAGTAGAATAACAACAATCACAACAACAGCAGCATTATGGAACAGATAGATATCCAATTGATCGCGTGACTATTGTCCATAACGGCGATAAAATAACCGTAAGGACTATGACCACGCCGCCATCCGATGACACCCGCTCCAAGTATACGCTGCAAGTACAGGAAGGACTATGAAATCAAAGGTGAACGCCACTCTAAAAGCTACACTTGAACACGGAACCGCTGATTCTCAACATGGCCAAAATCGGATCTTGTTCTAACAGCGCAGACATTTGGTGCCGATATGTCCGCGTCACAGTCAGATTCGACTGCCTCTTTCTCGTGCCAAAGCCCACGGGGAGCCAGCATGCAGCAGCACTATTCTGAGCTTGATTTTGTTCAGGAGGTATGTCGTGGCTGGCGCGCCTACAGGAACCATCCTAATAAAAATTCGGCCTGGAATAACTGCGCATCAAACCAGAATGCACCTAAAAGACTGGATGTAAAGTCGTTCGTTGTAAATTCGCTGCCCCGCTCCACCGCCTTCCCTTTCTGCTATTCAGCCCCTCTTTTCGCGCGATTTAGTGAAGCTGCCCCACTTTATGCACCTGGCCGCTTTACGGATTTCTATAAGACTCGACCGCCATCCTCTCTAAGGTCTTCCGCCCATTATTTTTACATTCCCACCTATTGTCCTCTCGTCTCCCTTTGCCTCGACAGTATCACATCCCCCCTTGCCTAGCTGTAGCGACACTCACCCGCATATGTTGTAATTTTGTTAGCTGAGGCCACAATGCTAACCCTACTCATGCCGTCCCAGCCGTGACGACGCGACTGACGAGTTTACTAACGCTGGGTCCATCCTAAACGCTGTTTCGCTACCTTTTGAATTTCTAATGACCTTATTTACGGAAGTTTTTTTTATTATTAATACGCCGCCGAAAGTGACGAAAAACAACAAGAGCCGACTGGTTCTTTACCACTTATCGCCACTAGAAGTTCCTACTATAAAGAGTATAGTGAAGCGTACACTACTACGTTAGCTTAACTAAGGGCTAAAACACGGTGATGTGTTTAGCTCTACACTACTAGACGTTAGACGCTTTCCGAATAACACGTGTCTAAGCTAACTTTAGTAGATCCTTATAGCCACTAGTGTACACTCACTAATAACCTACTTAGCGTAGTATAGTAGAAGCTATAGACTAGCTTATATATGGGGGGAGTCTGACTATAATATATACGGCTTATATTAACTATGTATTAAACTATAAAAGAGCCACTAATAAAGGCCCGCCGATCTACGACCGTGTAGGGAGCCCCTAACCACGTCTTAGTGTCGTGATTTACTATCACAACGAAGCTATATTAGCTACGTGCGACTACTGTAGCTAGTACACTTAACTTAGTCTAATTATACAATATTTGCTTCTCGGATGTAAGGGTTCTAATACCTTACTTTAAGCTTCACGACGGAAGATAAGCTATACTAGGACATAATTCACTAGCTTAGCCGTTTAGTGGTGGCTTAGGAGCCCCTCTCCTAGGTTGTAAGGCACTTATACGCTTTATAAAGTAGAAAAAAGGGTGTTATAATGAAGTTGGCTAGCTATATAATAGAACGCTGTATATTACCTATGTTAGCTAGAACGCTATAATAAAGCGAGTGCCTAGAAGCATTAGTAGGTCTAGATGGATAGCTCGTTCTACGGCCACTTAAGCCGTGAAACACAACGATATATAGCTAGCTAGTTTCCCTCGTCCTATTTATAAACTAGACCTACACCCTTATACTTCTTTATCTTCCTAACCTTTTCTTTAGTACGACTATAATAAACAAATTAAGGCTTACTAAAAATAATAGGCTCCTCTAATCCCTATACTAAGGATAAGTTGTCTAAGAGACTTAGCTTCTTATCTGACTCTCTAATCTTAATCGCTTCCTCCTAAGCTAGTTCTATTAGTTCCTATGATATTTTCTTAGGTGGAGGAATAGAAAAGCTCGAAGTCAACCGCAATATAAATCCTAAGCCTAGTAATATAGTCCTGAATCATTTATTATCGTATATTATTAAAGATAGAATAGTATTCTTATTTACTAATAATAAGAATCGTATTTAGGCACTTATAGCTAAATATAAGTAGGTAATAAGCGGCTAGGCTGCCTAGACTCATTATATTAGGTCCGATATCTTAGCTACTTAAGGTACAGTAGATTTAGATGTTATATAACTGACTATAGGTTAGCTAATCGAGTTCTTTAAGTGACGATGAAGACGTAGTGGCGTTACCTAATGTACATAACCACAACGACCGAAGGGTTAATAAGCCGAAGAAAGCTAATACACTAGATGGGGACTCTATATCGCGCAGGACTCACCGTAGTAAGAAATAGCGCTCTAGAGGCCCGAGTCGTGTTTAGAAGAAAAACACTACAGTAAGGAGCGGTAAGTCCTATACCTTTTTACGTTTAGGAGGAGCACAATAGGCAGTGAGAGGCACTATAGAGTGCGAAGTTCATTAGGCGCCTACCTAGCTACTAGTCGCCTACCTTAAAGGGAATAACGCCTTATAGGAAGCTAGAGATTT